ACGCAAGCGATATTCAAACCCGTAGGGCCTATGCTCATTCTGTCCAAACGGCCACCATTGTGCACCTAAACACACACCTTAATTCACAACTGTATATGTTTTATATTCGCCCAGCTTTGAAACTGCATATACGTACGATGCTAAGAATTCAAAAATCCTTTTTTGCAAGCAATTAGAGCATTCTTTCTTTTTAAGGCATTTACTAAATTTTTAATCTACATGAAAATAGTACGATAAAACCGAGAGCACTGTTTGCAAAAGAATACATCATTCACTCGATTAAGTCGCAAGAAACGTCTTTACTTGCCTTAGCGTGATTTATGAACGATAAAATGGCTGAGAACAGATTCCTGGCACCTCTTGGAATCACTGCACGTGAAGGTGAGCCATCCGCATCATTGAAAACGAAATCAAAATGAGGTGGTGAGATGTTGCTCTGCAAGAGTAAGCATTGTTAAAAAGTGGTTTGAAAAATCGGAAAAGAAATATGACACTCTACCATGTGGAGGTAAAAACTTTCTGCAGCCAAATGCACAGCAGTAGGTCTCTGTGGAGTTCTAAGGGTATATAAAGCGGAGAATGGCTGGGCTAATCTAAAAAGCGACATTTATCGTTACAGATCTGATTTCAGAAAAGCATAAACCTGCATGATCCGACGAGCGGATTTGACGTCAACTGACTGTCCATATAAGCCGAAAAAAGAGAAAAGACAAGCATCGCATCGGTAGGAAGCTGATCATTCCAAGGTCTACGAACAGTTCTTCCAACAGAGACTAAAATACGAAGCCGCTATAACAAGCGCAATGCGAATGCAATATATGAGGTAAAAACAACTACAACTGATGGCTACGGTAAGTGCAAATGTGCTTACCTTTTTCTTGAGTCGGCTCTCTGCCACCGCTATTCCAGCTGTAATCCATCATAAACTTATCGGCAGCCAGCTCCGAGATTCGCCCAATCAAATAACTCTAAATGTTAAAAGCTGAGCACTGAACTGCTTCTAACGCATAAACATTCAAAATCAACTCTACCTATTCGAGTACGTCATACACAGCACTTACATTTACACAAAATAAAATCGTAGCTGAATTTTAGTTGTGTAAATAGTCAGATTTGTATGGTTTTTTTGCATGTGATGTTTAGCTGAATTTTGCAAAATTCTGCTGCTCAATCCAAAAATTGGAATTTCCTTCATAAAAAGGAATTCACGAATAAATTTTACTAAATGCTAGCGCTAACCTGATTGGTGTGCACTGAAAGAAAAGGAAGGATATACGGAAGCATTGTGTCCAAAAGCTCTGGCCGACTTATCATAGCGTGTTGTAAAATTTCAACAGAAGAAACACCAATCTTCAATGGTGGACTCGAATGTTCCTAAAGTATTACGTCACCTTAGGTAAAAACACTGGCATCAAAAAAGTAAGAATTAATTACCTTATCCAGCTTAGCATTAGTCTGTTTTATTCGCCTATCTAGCGGTTCCAAAATAGTATTCACAAGCCATGCTCTCAAGCGCT